CAGATAAGCAGCAGACACCATAGAGACATGCATGGGTGACAGGTGACAGCAGTGGTCGTGGCTTGGACTAACTTTTTTCGGAGCATTACAGCAGGCTGGGGTTTGGGCTCACTTTGAGGGTTGTTCAGGTGGTTGGCCGACGGCCTGTACAGGCCCGGTAAGACAGCAGCCCGGCTTTGCTTCGGAGTAGCATCGGTTGTTGTGGACAATGGGGAGGAAAGGGACGAGTGGGGCTGGAGCGCTGGTTCAGTCGGTGGGGGCGACAAAGAGGGACCGTGGGAGCGGCAGTGATGCATCGGATTGTGACTGGGATGCACAGCTCAAGCAACAGAGGCTGGAGGAGGGTGGCTTTGTGATGCATATCAGGGCAGTGGGAGATACGTGTTTTGCAACCTCTAACCCGTTGTCTGTGTCCAGGGAGCTGAGTGCCGTGGTAGGGGATGTGCTAGACGCTACCATGGTGTTCGGTGGGCTGTTGGTGGTGGTGTGCCGGAATAAGTCACAGTGCCACAAAGCGCTGCGGCTTGAGAAGTTTCTGGGGGTGGACGTGGTGGCTTCTGAGTCGAGGTCTGGTTGTGTGATTAACCCCCAGAGACCCACGGTTGTAATATTACAACATCAGATTTAAGTCTACAAAAATAAACCTTCCCCATTTTTTTTCGTTTTAAAACCACATTTACATTGCTAATAGGTCCTATTGTTCAGTTCTTCAACACTATTGGCTGTTAAAATGTGTAAATAGGCCCGTTTATCTGGCCTCCTAGAACAATATGTGAAAGGTTAAAAAAAAGATTTTGCAGTTGCTTTCTAAATTTGGGTCTCTGGGGGTTAAGGGTGTGGTGTACGGCATTTCCAACACGGTCTCTGAGTCAGAGGTGTTTGGTTCCCTGAGTGGGGAGACGGTGGTGGCTGTTCGGCGTCTGGGGTTTAACGCACATGGGTCCACTCCGCTGCTGATTACTTTTATTGCGGTGGAGCTCCCTGCTCATGTCCAGTTGGGCTTCCTAAGTTTCGCGGTGATGGCATACGAGGAACCTCCTCTGAGGTGTTTTCGGTGACAGGGATACGGTCATGTGGCCTGTGTGGTTGGGGTGCGTTGTTGGAGGTGCGGGGGCAGTGCTTCATTTGTAAATCAAACGTTCCCGGCACGCAAATACTGACGTCAAACCAAACCAAAACAGATGCCGGAACATGCACGGGGTGGGGGGTTTGACAAGTAATTAAAATTGCGCACAACTCTTCAGTGGCGGACTGGTAATCGGGAGAAATGGGAGATTTCCCGGTGACCTGGCCATTTAACTGGCCCGCTCAGTGATTGCGGGTCATGACGTGCATAATATCAAAATGAGCAATCCGTCATGCAGCTCATCAGGGCATTTGCTGTCCTGATGCTCACACAAATGGAGCAAACTGGGCACAAAGACACCCCCTCCTCTCACTCTGTCGGGGTCTGGCAAAGCGGCTGCAGACACCCACCACCCCAGAGCGGCTACAGCACCACCGCACCTTTGGCCCCAGAGGCAAAATGGACCTAGACGGACCAGGAAAGTTGGAGCAGAAAAGGACAGATTGAAAAAGAAGAAAGCTCTGGCCACAGCTGCATGTCCAGGCTGGCCTGTATGTGGTCATGTTGGGAGAACCGGTTTAAGGTGGAGTTTTTGGGCCAGTTTAATTATCGTGCAGTTCTGGGCATGTGGAGCGGGTTGGGGAGGGAGAAACAGCGGCTGTCAGGAACAGATCATGATGATTAGGTTCTGATGATCAAATCATTAGACTCATTCTTTAGGGACAGAGAGCAGTGCATTGGACCGGTACCGGCGCCCTGGCTACTTGGCCGTGACTCTCACCCGGGAGTCTGGGGATCGAATCCCGCCCGGGCCCTAGTTTCTCCATCTTGTCACACAACCAATCAGTTGCAACAATATTTGTAATATTTATACATCTGATACAATTCAGATCACCTTCAAAACTCAGTCACACACCCAGGGCCGTTTCAAGGCATTTTGGGGGCCAAGGCAAAACAGAACACCCCCACTCCTGTAACTGGTTCCCCCGGAAGCCTCTGTGTAATTCATACCCTCTCCAGGAGTGTTAGTTATACAGTGTTTATAAAAGCCCCTCAGACATTACTGACATGTTCTAATATTATCAGATGAAAAACTAAATGATCAGACTCGCTATCTCATCTGCTGCTTTCCTAAACTTGCAAAAAGTAACAAAACCATTTAAAAGCCACTATTTGTGGATTCTCTGAAAGTTTCCATGGAGTGTGTGACAACTTATTTTATCATTGATCCTATCGTCTAAACAGCTGAAACAAGCATCCTTAATAATCTGTGCACAGGAAGCTTAAGCTGGGCGCACACTGTGCAAATTTTCACTTTTTTGAGCCGATTTTCCACTCGTGCGAGAATCCACGAGATCGGGGCGAGTTTTGCGCCGAGCGTCGTGTAGTGTACAGGGGGTTACGAGAGGCGATTAACACCACGTGACCAGCTACCGATCACTAATCGTGAGCTCGCACGGACTTCTGGCGTGTTTAATATTTTGCTCGTCCCTCGTGAGGGTATCGCACTGTTGAAGCGGCGCTGCGAGCAGCTGCGACCCAAAAGGTATCAGAACTGTTCACGGCGCATGTGCAATCCTGCATCACCACCGCTCACCCGCTATTTCCCCAATAACACACGTTGTTCGTTTTTATTTCTACACGTTTTTTTACTCACAAAGATTGTCAAGTGTGTTTGTCGTGTTCATGTCAAATTAAACTGATCACAAACACAGATTTACTTTCTTTATTTTGTTTTCCTCATCCAACCCCCATAAATCCCTGTGTCCTCCTGCAGCACTCCCGAAAGACAACAGGCAAGACAACAAAAAGTCTGATGTGTTGTGTAAAAAGTGCTATTTTTAGCATATTTTTAGGTCCGACGTGTTGCTACCAGACGTACAGTGTGAGCAGTCAGGTAGCATCCGAGAACTGGGTCGTACAGTGTGAGCGCATGACTCGTGAGATCTGCCCTGCGAGGAAGTCGGACAGTTTGAGCTGAAGCTGAGCGCTACGAGTGAAAAAGTCGCACAGTGTCCGCCCAGCTTTACCGATGCTGTAGTAAATAGGTATAATAAAAGGTATAATAACTTCTTATTAATATAATGTTGTTGCAGAACTAAAGCAGCAGAAAAATGAGATTTTGCAATAAATATGCTTAACATTTACATATGAATTGTTTTAGAGCCCTTTTATTGGCAGAATCTGATATTAATTTAGTTCTTACAAAAAAATGGGTCCCAACATGGTTTGTGTGGCGTTGCCATAGTGTGAGATCATAGGCACAGATCCCCTGTCCTCTTTTTGGAAATGGAAATATGTTCACCCTATATTCAACAAACTGTCCACCCGGGCTTTTGCGCTGCACAGAGACGCTTCGCTGCCTTTGACTTTGAACGTCAGTTGAGAGCGGTTGAGAGTCACTCTCATGCAGACTGACCAATGAAGAGAGAGCCTCAAGTTAAGACCCTCTCCTCATTGGTCAGTCCACACAAGGTGGGTCAAAGGTTACTCTGAGCGGGTTACATGACGTCAGGCATTCAAGTATTGAGTATATTTACTGCATATTACAGTAAAATATTCTGTATGTGACCATATTATGGTGATCCTTGGGTCGTGATGATGGGGCCCGTGAATATTCTTGCCCAGGGTACAACAAAGTGTTAATCTGGCCCTGTTTGTATAGACCCTTATATGGTTCTCCCGTGTGTCGAGCCCAGAAGAATATAAAATCCGATGTGTTCGCTTATACAAATATATAAAAAGATTCCTGCAACCCCCCCCCCCCCCCCCCCCAATGCATCTAAACTAAAACTAGTTGTTCTTGAACCAGTTGGGAGTAGAAACAGGGTTGAAGTTGCTTTAGGAAGAAAACACAACTTCTTATCGATTCCTATCTATTTCCTATAAATACAAGTGGCTTTAGCATGGCGCTGTGGAGTGGGAAACACAATGAGTCTAAAGCATACTTTTACCTTTTCCCACACCGAATGTGACAGTAGAATTCGTGATTTTATAAATGTTTTTTTCTTGCCCCTGTAAGCCTGTTTATTTGCCTCTGTGTATAAAATGTGCTACATAAATAAAACTTCCATCCCTTACCAATAAACCAAAAATTTGTATTTTGTCCGTCTGACAAAGCCCGGGTGTGTCATTAGGCATGTTTCCATTCCCAGACCTCCAGGGTAGTTCCTGGGATGGGGAACTTGACCAGGAGATAGGATGTTCCAGTCCTCTCAGCTGTTGAGACGTCAGCATACCGCGACTGCTTTGGCAGTGAGTGATGTCACTGGTCAACCCCAAAAAACGCCCAAAGTAACATAAATAATGCTAAAAGCATTTACTCTATAGTAGTATATCACAATTTAATCCTTTCAGAGGACATGAGCAGCTCAGATTTCAGTGAGACAAGCCCTGTTAGCTACGTCTGTGGGGGAATTTCCTCGTTTTTTCCAATAGCTGTGGGGTAATTCCACCGAGGTGTGCGGTGCCAGAGTTGGATTTTAAATACGATCAGTGCCTTCCATTCTGCTTCACCAGCTACTCTTCTAATTTAACTGCTGCTGGTTGTTTGGACGCTGCTGATGTCATTTCCCGCTGAGTTACAACCAATCAGCGTGAGTTAACCGGAGGTTTTGCTCAGCTACTCCACCGGGCCGTTCAGAGTTCCTTCTCCAGAGCAGGTACTCAGAAGGTTCCTGAAAATGGCCTGAGAGACGGCCGTTCGGACGGCCCGGTCGGGTGGAGACGCGCGCATGTCGGGAAGTTCCTGTAAATCTGACCTGAAGTTCTTGTAGTGGAAACACGCCAATTTGGAACCCCTAGCAAGGCTGCTAGACTTGGCTGCTTCAAAATAACCCACATTCAGTATTTCTGTAAAACAGTAAAAAAGGCACAAACATGTTTTTTCTATAAACAAAGCTCTATGCACGCAATAAAAATGTCCCAAAAAACGTTCATCGTTCGAAGTGAAAACATTTATTTACACACGAGGCGAATGCAGGAAAAAACAACATGGCACACCATTTCCAATAGGCAGTCACATGCCTTTCGAAATATGCCAAGCGTTGTAGCAGTCTCGACCCGGCACGAAGCACAGCGCCGTCTTACACGTGGTACACTTGATGGGAGTTTTGGCCTGGCAGTGTCTGCATCTCAGGCGCCGGGCGCTGCTGTTTCCTGAGATGTACACAGGTAGGTGCTTACCAGGGACAACGGATTCAGATTCATCTGTGATGCTGGACCCCGCACCTGCCAGCTCCAAGGCCAAGGCCTCCCTGAATTCCTTTTGGATGAAGGGAACATCACCTCTCCTCATGGTGTGTTCTTTATACAGGACGAAGGCATTCACGAAGGCGATGTCCATGAAGTGGAAGAAGAAGATCTTGTACCACTTCTGTTTTTTGTGTAGGACCTTGTAGTAATCTTGTAGAAAAGAGACCTCGCTTGGGCCATTCCTAAGCTTTTGCGACCTCCCCTCACAAACAAAAAAATCCCACTTATAGCCACTGGGATTATCCTCAAGAACAAAAAGCTTGTAGCCCCAGTAAGTAGGTTCCATCGTCATGTCCCGCTTCTGATCCATGGCGGACTTTGTCACAACCACACGCTCGTCAATGGAAATGTTCAGAGAGGGGTGGTAGTTATATTTGCAAGCAACCCTCAGCTCCTCATACAGGGGTTTAATTTTGCATAAACTATCATAATCTTGTGTCCCCCTCTTCCTTTCATTGGCAGCCTCCTCCGTGCTGCTGCTTAGGTGCAGGGCGTGGCGTATCTGGAGGAAGCGTTTGCAGGCCATCACTGACTTGGGAAAGGGGAGTTCGTACAGCTTTCCCCCTCTCCAGTAATCTGTTATTGAGCAGCATTTAACAAGTCCCATATATATAACCAAAGCCATGAAACTGAACATCTCCTTCAGAGAGACATCGGTCCACGGGTTCACAGACTTTGGCCTGTGTGTGGCGCCAAACTCATTTGTGTTCTGAATTATTTTCTGTAGTATGGTATTTGTGAAAAAAAGCTGAAAAATCTGTATTGGAGTGTAGTTTGTTGTGGAAAGGAGCTTTGTTCCGGGTAGATGGTAGAGGCTGAAGATGGGTTTTGCGAGTTTAATGGACTGAACTCCAGCACCACTCTGGGTCTCATTAGTCATTCCAGAAATATCGGCTTGAATACTGACTGTCTCAGTCTCCCCTCCGTGATCGAGTCCACGCCCAAACTCCGCAGACACCCCACAGATACTGGTCTGGGTTCCGGGTGGAGGGTCTGGTCTCACGATGGGTTGAGGGAGGCCAACGTCCTGAACTCCTGTTCCTTTCCAGGACTCGTCCTTCTTTCCGGAGATTCCGGTCTGACTACTACTGGTACTGGTTCCAGGTGGATGATGGGGCCTCAAGATGGGTTGTGAGGGTTTAACGTCCTCAACTCCAATTCCATCCACAGACTCCTCAGTCATGCCACGAACACTTGTTTGACTAGTACTAGTTCTCCCCCTCCTCCCTCTTCTACCACGTCCACCTCCTCTTGCTTTTCTCTTGTTTGTGCCTCTTCCAGGTGGGGCGACGGGGCGGGGGTCTGGTTCACTCTTCGGGGACTTTCTGTGTTCAGAACCACATGGGGCAGAGTTTTCATCTGAATCCAGTAGATAAACAAATAATTCATCATACAAAATTAAAAAGTATGTATTTACAAAGTTTACAGCAGTAAACATAATTCATAGCCTATTTATAGTGAGCAGTTTGACCCTCTGCAGAAGTCTAATAACAATAAATAACAAATTTGATACAACTTTACAAAATGGCTCCCCTTATAAACGACTAATAGTTTATATTGAATGGTTCTGTAACATTTTATAACTCATTACGTGTCTATTATGCATTGATTAAGTACGAGAAACTGACTGGTTTGTTGCCAAATAGTGAACCACATCTGTTCACCTTAGCATTTGCCACTACATCAAACTTGCCAAACAGTTTATTTTTACATCTATCCATCCATCCATCGCTCTCATTCTCTCTCTCTCTCTCTCTGTCTCGTGAAATAACACTTACTTACTTGTCAGTGCCATTTAGTCCCTCCTCAGAGGATGTCTCCTCTTCAGAGTAGAAGTCTGAGACATCACTGACCTCAGACAAAAAGTCGTCCGAATGACCACTCTCTCTTCTACAACAATATTGAACGCATCCCGCTGAGGGGAATTTCCTTTTGGAGACGTGCTTCGCCATGTTGTCGAGCTGTGTGTTTGTTTAGGCGCGGAAGTTTGTGGCGACAACCCAACCCCTCAAGACGTTATTTTTTACAGGATTTCATTGGCTGTTTCACGCGTCAGTCATTTGTTTGCCGCGCCACAATTGGTTTAAAATACCCACGTGAGCGATAGAGGGTGGTGCTTATAAACTATCGGCCAATAGTTTTATATTAGCCACATAAGAGGGTGTAACCCATCAGCTATTGGATCAAGGTTATGTCAATCAAAGCTTAAACAGTTTTTTTTTGTTTAGTTTTGTTTTCCAAATTCTTTATTGACACTGGAGGAAACTTTTATCAGGGTGTTGTTGTACTGGATGAAACCAAATGAGCGTGCTAACAGAAGTTACAGTGAAAACTTCTGCAAGAAGGAGACTTCAAAGGTTTTCACTGGCAGATGTTATGAAGCTGAAAGTCCTCCAGTTGCTGCTTCCCATTCATCTAAACTTCAAACCTGATTTAGATTTTTCTACATTTATAAAACAATCATTAAAGCCCAGTTTGGTGATGCCTTTGATTTGTGAGAGTTCACTGAAAAGCATTTTTTCATTTATTTATTTGTTTGTTTGTTTGTTTATTTATTTAGTATTATTATTGCATTTTGATCACACTAGAATGGGTCCAGCTCATAAAATAGGCTACAATGCATAAACTCTTTCAACGGGGACTAGATTAGTAGCAGAATCTTTAAAACCCAGTTTTTGATTTGTGAAACCTGTTTGACTGTCTTCATACCTTATTGCATCTGGACCACATTAAAATCGCATAGTGGCTGACACACTCCAGACCTCGATTAGTGACAGCAAGAGGAATCCTTCACATCAAGGATGGAAGACGATGTGTGAACCAGGGCACAGAGAGGAGCTATGAACTATCATCACCCACCAGTGTTACCTGTCTACCTTTCACTGCGGCAGCATGTGGTGGGACGATTTACACAGTTGTGTCCCAGCTGCAGGCGTCATACCCCAGCTCTTCTTTTTCCTCTCCATGGATTTTAATCAAGTTTCCTTGTCCTCAGGTCCCCATACCTTTACTCAGTAGATTGATGCACCTGGGAAACTAAGACTACAGACTTACTGAGTGCAAATACTAAAGATGCATCTCCTCGCCTCACCCTGGGTCATTCAGACCCCATCCTAGTCTATCTGGTTCTTTCATACATTCCTATTGTGTGCAAGCAACACCCACAACAAGGTAAAAAGTCATAGGACTCCAAAGCACTTTACATACAATCAGTCATTCACCCATTCATATACACATGCTGATGATAATCAGCAACAATGTAGCTAGCTGCCTTGGGCTTGGGACAGACTGACCGAAGCAAGGCTGCCATATGGGGGCACTGAGCCCTCTGACAACCACCGGCAGACAAGGCTGGTAAAGAATCAGATGTGTGGAGAGGGCTATAAACCAAAAGAGGCAAGGAGAACAGCGATCTAAGATGCTCCAGAGCCTGAGACCAGGCTTGGTCAACCGAACCAGTGCTTAAACAAGCCTTCCATCCCCCATTTACCAGAAATCACCCCTCACCCCAACACCTCTGTACCCCCCTGCCCCCCACATATCCTGCTCCTGCTTGTTCATCACAGCTGACCAGGTGTGGAGTCAGCTGATGAAGATTAAACTAAGGAATGTGGCAGGTTTTGATGGAATCAGCCCCAGACTATTGAGGGACCGTGCAAGTCAACTGTAATTATGTACATCCTGTCAGAACAATGCGGTCTGGACTTTGTTCAGCTTCCTTTTAGACCAAAAATCATTTAATCTAATCAGAGCCTTCATACCGGCTGTAGTGCAAACCTGGATATGGAACTCTGCAAAGTTTCAGCATGGAGTCTATTTTGTCCGGATGCAGCACATAGAGTGAGTCATGGTTCAGCGAGGAGCATCCAGGATATTTCAAAAGAAAACCCTTGTTACATTTTTTATCTATTATTAATGTCAGGGATGTCAGTTCATATTAGTATTCACGTATTATGTGAAATTTCAAACGTGAACTCGTGTGAATCCCGGTATTTGGTGCTCTCACAGGAACACATTTCATGAGACGTTCTGCAAGCGATCCGCAGTCTCTTTAAATAGCAGTCCATTCAGAATCCGTATAGTAACCGGATCACATCTGTTCATACTCGATGTAAACGAGAGGTAAGTCGTTCTGATCATTCTGACTCAGCAGCTGGCTGAGATCCTCCGGGGGGAACCGGACTCTTAACGGCCTTCTACGACCCTGTGGGAGCGTGGTTTATGCTTTGGTAGCTTGTGAGGTGGAATTGTAGGCAGGGACAAAGTGAAATTAGTGTGACTGTTCAAAAATAAATTTACACAAACTACCATGACATTTAGAAGACTAGAGCTGTTTTTAAACCCAGCAGCGGTCACTTTGGCTGTGCTCGGACTAGCTGTTAGCTCATCAGTCCTGAACGGAGGTCATTCCTCGAGAGAGCTAAACGTTCGCACAGAAATACACGTCAGAAGCTTAAAAACCCTTTAAGACAAAGAGTTTCCACTTTTGTGTGTGTGTGTGTGTTATTACTAAACCTGCTGTGTAAAAGAGCCCTACTGTTGTGATAAATTCAGAGACTTCACACATGGCTGTGTTATTCCCTCAGCTCTGCAGAGCGTCTCATCTTCTGTCAGCTCTCTGTTTTGGTTTCATGACAAGGATTTGTTTTCCTTTTTATTTGGCGTACACTTCTCACCAATCTGATGAAGCTCTTTTCCAGAAGAGGAACGGCAGACGTTTGTATTGACTGAGCTCCGATAAACCTGCTGGCATCTAGCTGGTGAGCATAATGGAGCAACTTACACAGAACAAAAGAGAGGTAAGGAGGGCTTGCCAGGTATTGTTCCCCCTCCCAACAAAGACTAATCCTGTTTCACATCTGCTCAAAATGCTCATCAACATTTTAGGGTAATACTATCCCTTATCAATGCTTATTAAGTGTATTAATAGCCTTTTCTTTCTTGAAATGTGCCTCCAGCTGGTGTTATAAAAAATTAGTTTGAAATTAAAGCCATGACTCAAGAACTCCACTTAAAAAATAGGTTATATTAAAAAAAGGACAATGGCTGCCTTTGGATTAGCTTTCAGTTTCAGCTATCCATAATAAATGTGTCCATTGTAAATCAGTTGTGAGTGACTAATTAAATGAGTGTCTCGCCTGACTGGAAGCTAAGTCAGCTGTTCTTTTTACTGCAATGTTTCCATGGACAAAATATTTACAAAAGTAAGACTGAACATTTCTATTTTGATTGTGTTCATGTCTAAGACCGGTTTTGTTTATGACCTCCTGTCAAATAGCTTTGTTACCGAGGAACATTTCTAACTGAACAAAAAATTCAATTACTCTAAATGTAGCAAAAAGCACATTGATTTGACTCTGTGTATGAAATATCGCTAAAATAAATCAAGCTGCCCTGCCTTGCCAAACTACGCCCCAATCTTTGCTAAAGAAAAAAAGTATTTAGTTATTTATCGTGCTTTCTTTATCAGAAAGAGAAAGAAATATGAAAGTAGGCAGGGACAAAATTCTGGTAAATTTAGAAAAAATTTGGACATGATTGGTCACAAAAGTGCAACAAGAAAAGTAGAATTCAAACCAATGTGCTTTTGAACCCCAGCTGTTTAGTAAACAACTTGGTAAACGATCATTTATAGCAAATCAGGTGGTTTGTTTTGTTAGTTGTCAACAAATATTGCCTTTATTTATTATTTAAATTAGTTGGAAAAGTCCACAATTTTTTAAAAGTCTGTATTTACCTCTCCACCAGATGGAAATCATCTGATGTCTCAGATTTTAAGTAGATGTTTGAAAGACCTTTGGTGTGTTCTTGCTGTGTTGAAATTCTAATTCCACCTTTTAGTTTTTTTGAATACAGAAAGGTTTTATTTACCTGCAACGTTTCGTTTGCGGCTGCAAACGAAACGTTGCAGGTAAATAAAACCTTTCTGTGTTTTAAAAAGAACTAAATTATGGAGTTTGAAAGACCTCTTATGATGAATAATTTACAGTGTTCCCTCGCCCAGTCACCGGGGCCTCCCTCTGGAGCCAGGCCTGGAAATGGGGCTTGCCGGTGAGCGCCTGGTAGTCGGGCACAGCCCGAAGAGGAATCGTGGGTCCCCCTTCCCAATGGCTCACCACTTGTGGGAGGGGCCAAAGGGGTCGGGAGCAATGTGTGATGGGTGTTAGTCGAGGGCGGGGACCTTGGCAGTCTGATCCTCGGGTACAGAAGCTGGCTCTCGGTACATGGAATGTCACCACCCTGGTGGGGAAGGAATCTGAGTATGTGTGTGAGATCGAAAGGTTTCGACTATAGTCGGACTCACCTCGACGCATTGCTCTATCTCTGAAACCAGTTTACTTGAGAGGGGCTGGACACTCTACCTCTCTGGAGTTGACCCCATTGAGAGGCACCGAACAGGGGTGGGCATACTAGTTGCCCCCCATCTTGGTACCTGTACGTTGGGCTTTACCCCGGTGAACGAGAGGGTGGCCTCTCTCCACCCACGTGGTGTGGGACGGGTCCTGACTGTGGTCTGTGCTTATGCACCAAACTGCATCTCAGACTACCCACCCATTTTGGAGACCTTGGAGGGGATGCTGGAGAGCGCTCCTTCCGGTGTCTCCCTCGTTCTGCTGGGGGACTTTAACGCTCACGTGGGCAACATCATTGAGACCTGGAGTGGTGTGGTAGAATGGCTCCGAGCGGTGTTTAGTTATTGGACTTCTGTGATAGTCATGGATTGTCCATAATGAACACCATGTTCAGACATAAAGGTGTCCATATGTGCTCTTGGCACCAAGATACCATAGGCTGCAGCTCAATGATTCACTTTGTTGTCATCTCATCTGATCTGTGGTCGCATGTTTTGGACACTTGGGTGAAGAGAGGGGCGGAGCTGTCAACTGACCACTACCTGTTGGTGAGATGGCATTGATGGTGGGGGAAGATGCCGGTCAGACCTGGCAGGCCCAAGTGTATTGTGAGGGTCTGCTGGGAATGTCTGGCGGAGTCTCCTGTCAGAAGAAGTTTCAATTCTC